TCGCTCGACATCAATGCGATACACACGAACACACAATATGCAATGTTTCCAAGATTTTGCCAAGGACGGTGATGTATGTTCAGTATTTTATAAATTCCTCGGTATTTATACACTCATATGAGTCAAGATGATAGCTGATTTGAATCAAATTGCCGGATACCTTGCAATATCGGGCAAACAATATGGTATACCGAGAGGTCTACATAAAATTTATATCCGTATATAAACGCGGTTCTTTGCGAATCACGTCAAACGGTAGCAAATAGGCTAATAACGCTAGTATCGGCCGTTATTTGCATAACCCAGATCGATAAGTAGCCGTTATTCGATTCGTTTCATACTTGTTCCATGACAATGGGATCTGTTTCGTTTTATACGGCGGACGAAAAATAATACAACTAACTGAGGAGGGAGAAGAAGGGGTGAGGAGAAACTACGAGGATATACCGTTTTATATGGTAATCGAATCCAGATGACACAACGACGACCGGGAAAGGACATTATCGAGAGCGTACCAAATTTATCAACTATAAAACGAAATATATATGTTGCGGTTCACGACAATATTTATATTAATGCGACACGGAAATAGTCTCGCTTTCATTGCGGAAATATCCTGTTTGCTTCTAATTTACGGCTTGATCTCACCTCTGGCGCACCGGTCAATCTGATTTTCTATTGATTGAAAATTAAATAATTTCTATGTCCGAACGGGTTGCACGAGTTCGATGAAATGAAAAGTGACATACCGAATCGTTACGAATATAAGTTACACGGTAAAGTACGTTTCTCGAACACAACGGCTAAATCTGAATGGCTTTTATTCACAATAATTATATTATTATAACACGTTTTATTACATCGATCGTTTGCAAATTTCCGCAATCTCAAATAAAATAGGTAGAAAGCGAAGTAATTTTATATTTAAATATTCGTATTCATATTCATAATAATTAAACAACATATGCCATTTTCGTCGCGTTTTTATTAAAAATAATCAAAATAATTGTCAAGAGAATTATTTCGGCAAAGAATACTACACGAATCTTGACGCGTTCGCCTTTAAATAAGACCGCCACGATAATTACAAAATAATCAACGTCCCGGTTCAAAGCCTCAATCAGTTGCGACAAGTTATTTGCGCGTAACGAGAAATTTTCTTCAATTATATCGTGGTATTAATTTTTCATTCGATAGGAACCCCTGCGGACGATCGGCCGTCACCCTCATTCGCTAATATTTTACAGTCGATTAATGGGAAGTAGTTTTAGCATTAAAATATTTAAACAACGTTAAAAACGAGCACTTAAAACCGTGTACGTCGCCACGATATGCAGTCCAAAAAATAATAAATATTTGAACGATGAATTCTTTGTCACAAATTTGCAATTGGTTTCTTTCCGATATAAATGTTTGAAAGTTATTGCACGATTTTTCGCTAATTTCCTTTACAAATGAAAATTGGCTACGAACCAACTGAAAGTCTCACCATTAATATCAAATCATAACGCAATAATTTTCGGGACAAATCACATTATGCAGAAAACATAATTTACCGTTTATAAACAAAGCACGCAATCTGAGTTTAGCAAATTATGATATATCCGCTATTCAAATGTAATTCAATCTTGTATCTATTCCATTTATATATACACACAAACACACACATATATATATGTAAACAATAATGATGGTCCAACTTATAACTTCTTGATAGTATATATATATATATATATATATATATATATATATATATCATGTACATGTAGGATTGTGCTTGTGTGTTGATAGATTTTCAAACGCGATTTAAAAATAGGAGATGATTTAATTGAAAAAAAAAAAAAAAGAAACTCGCGCAAGACACACTTGCTGGAGAGTTGTGTATGTGTGTAAAATTGTTATAAACTCGGTGCATTGATCAGCGCAAATAAGTCAGCGAGAGATTTATAAAATTAATTAATAGACTATATCTTACATATGCGCTAATCCTCTCTTCAAACTGAAAACAAGAATCTCACTCCCTTTAATTGACCGCTACGTAGCGAGTAGCGTCCTCGAGAAACACAACGCTCAAAATAACATGACATGTGTCGTGACATGGTGTCTTTAGGTCTTGTACGTCACACATCAATGCATCATGCGTGCAACATGTGCGCTTTGTTACATTATATCTATTTTATATATTGCCCTATCCCCTGCAATACAGTGTTATAAAATTAAATACATGAATTTTACCGGACTTCCCGACTAATTAAAAAGTAAAATTTATAACTCCGTGCCAATATCAGATATTTTACGGATACAACGAGCGAATCAATTTTATTGTAATAGAGACCCCCGTCTCTATTACAATAAAATTTTTTTCCAAAATTTTGTTCGCAAATTTATTGGTCATTATAGGATCTTTGTAAATTAACGCTGCAGTATATTGTATGTCATCAAAATCTCTGATTACTTTCAAAAGCTCTTGCATTGCCGCAAGTATATTTAAAAATTATGTTAGTCAAAAGTTTTATAGAAAACGAAATCAATAGAGGCTGATAAACGTAGATTTCCGTACGATATTGTTTACGATAATTCTTCAATTGTGCGATTTGTATTTACTTCGAGTTGACCTCGAACGTCTTATGTCAAAATTAATGAGACGTTCAATGTTTGTGTTTGCCAATATAGCCACGTTATAGTAGCGAAGTTGACTTTTCAATCTACAAACCTAAATTGTACTAACCCGACATCAAGATAATTAACGCGCATAATTAACGTACTATCTCAAATTTCAGGGAACAAAAGGGTTACACGACGATATCGCCTCTCCAACGTCCAAATTTCATAATCTTCCTATATTCGTCATCGCTCGAAATACGATATCCTCCTGTTTAGACTATAATCTCACGATAACCTATCTGTTATTAATGACTCTTAACATGCTGATAGAAAATTCGATCCTCCCGGAACACAACAAGGTACCTATAGGAAATTAATTGTATGTGACACTAGAGAAAAATTATATTTACGGGCGGAACACAGAGACTGTGTAATGCGTAACTACACTGTGTGATTCCGCTAAATTTTACAGCCGACCGATAGATGAATTTTCATTCGTCATTGTGACAAAAATGGAAGCAAAATGTATCTTTGATACAGCAATAGCAAACATCCACATGTTGAGAATATGTGTAAAACATAAAGCGTAAGTACTCCGCGAATATCTGTATAACAAGAATTTTAATTATTCATGTACCTCCCATAATTTCCTAATCGTCATAATCCTAGATTTTGCTATTATTGTGTATTATATTGCGTTGCATGTCGCTAAATGCAACACGCTGCGAAAATCGTGCCAACAGGCACGAGCGCATCGCGATCCTTACTACGTTTCTGTTATCTGGCTCGATGATCGATTAGTTCTAATCTACCATATTGCCACAAAGAAGCAGTTTGTTTCGAAACGGCGCACAAAGTACGCACCAAGTACCACGAAGTTCTGCACGCATTGTGCATACACACAGCAGCGATATTTACATCGCGCTCGTCATAATTTTCCAGACTTGTATGAACGTTATAAAAACGTTCTTTCTGAGAAATTCGCGCATATCACATTTATATCGCACGATAAATTAGCCGAATCTCTCGCAGAGTCAGAAATGCCGATGCTGCCCGATGCGCTCGCGTTCACCGCGAGAGAAATCTCATTTCGCACGCTCAATTCACAGCGATTCTTTTAATCGCGCGCAATCGTCGGATAAAACTGTCGAGTCGAATTAATAATCGCGCAGAAAATAGCCGAGATACGTTCCTTGAATATATCAGGGAAACATTGGACGGTTGAGCGCGAACGCATCGGACAGCATTAGCACGCTCAATTGTGCACATTATATTTGATATCGCCCTTGTATTTCGCGCGTGTTGCACGCATAACGCGCCCTGCGTGTTTTGCACTTGCAGAATATCAATATCGCGCCGTTAATCGCCGGATTTACAGCAGATATTATATCCACGCGTCCGCGTTCTATTAATCGTCCGCGAAATATTTCTGCCGTTGTTACGATTTACCCGTCGCGCCTAAAAGTCGTCCCGTCAGGTACGTACGTATCCGGCAAAAATTCAAATCTCATTCCCGATGCAGTTTCCGTATCGAGACCGCACCGCGTCCGCGTCCGCGTCCGGACGAATGATCTCGCTGACGACGTCGAGTGCGGTTGCATTTCTCGCCAGCGTTTATATTCATTTCGCAGGTCGTCGTATCGTTACGTGTCCCGTCGCAGAATATACGTACATACGCCGAGCGCAAGGGAACCGTCGAATTTCCAGCGAGCACACTCCAGGTGCTTTTCCCACGATTTTCCTTCTTGCCGCAAGTCTTCGTCGGTGTTCCGCGATGTGAAATACGCGGCGACGCGCGGCGCAGTTCGACGCCCGCTTAAACGCATTCAGTTTCCGCGAAATAAAGTCAAGAAGAGATCGGAAAGTTATGTCTGTTCCCTCGATCCTCGGCCGAGAACGCGTTGGACCACCGCGACGCTATATTATTTGCGCGGCGATCGAGAAAGAGAGAGAGAGAGAGAGAGAGAGAGAGAGAGAAAGAGAGAGAGAGAAAGAGAGAGAGAGAGAGAGAGAGAGAGAGAGAGAGAGAGAGAGAGAGAGAGAGAGAGGGAGAGAGAGAGAGAGCGCGAAATAAAACGGCGACCATTTTATTGGCGCGCCGTTGGGAGCGAATTCAAACGCGCGTGGGGAAAGGCGCGTTATGCGTCGGACATAAAACTGCGGTGAAATCACGTTGCAATCTCGGGATCTCGGCGTATCGCCACGGCCCGTCGTAGCGCGTTGTCTCGTCGTATATCGAACAAACGATGCAATACGCATCGCAATGGCCGGACGGATTCGCGTCCGCGACATTCAAATTATGTCGTCTCTCGTTCGAATTACATCGACCCGTCATAATGGAGGGGGGGGGGGCGGGGGATTTCACCGTGACGTGATTATATAACTGTCACACGCACCTTTAACAGTCGTCGTTGCACACAGCACGGTGAGGAAACAGGCCCAGGCGCTGGTGGTCGTCGGCATCATCTTGCGGCGGCTCGCAGCTCCTTCCGTGCACATCACACAAAAAAACACTCGCGGAACTGATCGGCGCCGATCGCGAGAGCTCCAGGCGCTCTTTCGCGAACGAGCGGAGCGCGACACCAGAATTCGAACTCGCTGAGAGATCGGGTAACGTTGCTCGCGGAGTCGCGCGCGCGCGTGCCCGCGAAATCGTACGCCACGTACGTCGAAACGTTGTTCGTCGGCTCGGATGATGAAATCGCCGTCGCCGAGGATCGTCGAGATTCGCACACCGTAAAGTTCGTCAAGAGCAACCGGAGAGCTCGGCGCGCGAAGACCGTCTGACGCGGGCTTTACTTTCGGAGCGCTTCGCGAGACTTCGGCTGCCTGCCGAGATCGCCCGAACACACCGTAGCGTCCCCCTCCAGCTTCGCCGCCGACGTCGTCCCGCCGAACGACCTAGCGAGAGATACAACACCGTGCCTACCTACGTGCGTACACCTACTTTCGTTCATAACCTTACGTACGCACTACGCATACGCTACACCCATACACTTATACGTAAGCGGACACAGCAGACACACGCGCCTACGCGATACACAACGAGATATTAAAGACCGACGGCCTCGCGAGAGAGTCGCGTGACTGCCGATGTTTGTACCATTAGCCCATTACGATGCAATATTAACTTTATGATTTGCCGATTCGCCGGTTAATCGTTACGAAGCCCATCAAGACGAGGCACTAACCAGACGTCTCGCAAATGCCTCGTGCACGCCTGCGATCGCGGGGAATACGTGTTCGTGTTAATCTTTCTTCGATCGAGTCTCGAGACGAACGAAAATACGACAAGATACGATCGCGGTATGAAATGGCGGAATCGTCCCGTCCGTCTTAACCTATATACACGCGGGTACACGAGAGATGTGCGTGGTAATGCTTTGTATGTACCTTTCTAGGACTAAATTATGATGTTTGTCGTACGTGCGTGGATATCGGGCTTGATTCGACACTTCCGACACTCGTTCGCGCGCGAGATGCGCACTTTTGTCGCGTAAAAAGATCCGGAGCGATCACGATTCGAGCTGCTCAAGCCCGGCCGACGGCCGACGTGAGGCAACCACGGTTGCCACCTCTCCAGTTTTCGCCCGGAGTCTCCGATGATCGTTTAATAATTACGACGTGTAATAATCGAGACAAAGGTTAACTATCTTGTGCTGATATCGTCTGTGCGTACATATTTCTATTTTCATTCTTCAATGATCGCGACATTTGTAACGAACATTCGAGTCGCAGCGTCTGCTCTCTCAGCTGTACTATGTTGTACTTTTTGTACGTGGAGTAAAACAGGTTCATGCTTGCAACATGACTGAGAGAGAGAGAGAGAGAGAGAGAGAGAGAGAGAGAGAGAGAGAGAGAGAGAGAGAGAGAGGAAGGACAGAAATACAGCTCAAATATACGGAGTTACAATAGGAAAAAACAGTAATTTAATAGAAAGAACACTTGCCTAGTATAATTAGGCCGTCTCGAAAGTATCAATATTTCGAAAATTTTAACCAACATTTCAAAAGTACGGACAATAGTGAAGAATATTACGGTGAATCAGTTTCGATTCACAGAGTCGTTTTACACTTTCGTATGATCTCGGCCTATCGAAAGTAAGTCTCGCGAGAGAATTACCTCGGTAATACCGAAAGTAAATGCGCTTGTTACGGCAAAATACCGTTAAACAGCCGCCGAAAATTAATATACCTCTTCTCAGGACCGGTTATCGAGAATGACAAGAAAAGTATAGTGCGTTCGCTGCGTCACACAGTAATTGCAAGGTGTTAACCATTACGTTTTCGATCTGATCGAGAGAGAGAGAGAGAGAGAAAGAGAGAGAGAGAGAGAGAGAGAGAGAGAGAGAGAGAGAGAGCAGAGAAAGAGAGAGGGGGGAGGGAGAAAGGATCGCAAGCGAAGTATCGTCGCCGGGAATGCCGAAAGTAAGTTTCTGACAATTATCGTATTTATATATCGTGAAAATACCTCTCATACGACGGGTGAGTCGGCAGTACCGCGTGAAGTGTCACGCAAGTCCGATACTTCGAGAATCGAAGTATGCACCGACGACGCCATTGGCATCGTCAGTCTAGGTATCGGCCACCCGGCGTTGTTTCGGCTCGCGAAGATGCTCCGTATTTCTCGAGATTTTCTGCCATTATAAGCGAGTCTCGGACACGAATTATGTCGCCAGGAACGCCGAAAGTAAGTGTCGCGCGTTTGAGATGAAGGAAAGAGCCATCGAGAGCGAATATCGCGCAAGCGGAAAGTCAGCGGAGAGTTGTCGAACAGTATCGCACGATCGTCGTCAGCACGGTGGCGTTTTAGACGCAGCGGACGAGTCCATTCTACGATTAACCGTTAAGCGAGTCGAAGGCAAGATTCGTGCGCCCGGTTCGTCACCCAATGTTTACCCAACGTTTACCATTTCGGAACACATATTCGACCGGTCGGCAGTATCGCGTGAAGTGTCGTGCAGATATTGACACTTGGAGAATCTAAATATGCACCGACGCTCCGCATTTCTCGGGATTTTGCCTCATCACAGGCGAGTCTGGGGCGCAAATTATCGTCGCTACGAGTGCCAAAAGTAAGTGTCGTGCGCTTGAGATGACGAGAAACAGTCGTGGAAAGCGAATATCGTGTGAAACGAGCCATCGGGAATATCGAACAAAGTACCGCGCGATCGTCGTATCGTGATGGTTAGATTATGTCCTTGACTTTTGCGTCGTTTCGGACTCTCCGAAAAAACTTGTGTCGAAAACGACTCGCGCGTTCGTCGTAGCAAAATATCGTCAGAAAATCGCGGAATATCTCACGAAACAAACGTATCCGGGCGATCGGCAGTGTACCGAGTGAAGTGTAACGTATATTGCTGCTTCGAGAATCGGAATATGCATCGAGATGCCATTATTGATCAAGGTACAGCCCGTTAGATGTCGTTTCGTGTCGAACTCCGTAGACGCTCCGCGTATTTCCTCGCGATTTCGTCAAAAGCAAGTCTCGTATCGTGAGTAATCGCCGGCGGAAATGTCGAAAGTGTCGCGTGTGTGTTCGCGATGACGAAAGAATCGTCAAAAGCGAATATCGTGTGAAACAGGTCGTCGGAAATGTGTCGGCTAAGGTGTCGCGTGATCTTCCCATCTGACGGCTTAGATTATTTACACGTTGAATTCTCACCGGAGAATCGTTCCGAATTATTGCCGCTGGATGTGTCGGAGATAAGTCTCGTCTAAACATCATCAAAAAATCGCACAAGTAAACACCGCGCGGGAAGCGCGCGAGTAGTCGGGAATATCGACTGAAGGTCGGGCGTGTTGCCGGCCCGTGTGAGACCGTCGCAACCGTTGCGTATACAAAATCACGCCGGTAGCGAACCGTGACGGACCCGGGAGCCGTTCCGTGTTTTTCGTGATTTCGCGTCCGCCGGTGTCGAGTCCTCGCATGAATTATCGTCGCATCGTCGCCGAAAATCGGGAGCGAGTGCCGTGCATTCGTCGAGAAGAATTCTCGTCAAACCGCCGTCGAAAATGTATATCTCGCGGAATAACCCGCCGAGAGTGTCGAGTGAAGTGTATTTCAAGTATTCCAAGTGTGCTCCGTGACTGTACTTCACACCTGCTGCGGAGTCGGAGGAGAAAGATCGGTAAGTCTTCATAAGGAATTACTACGATATATTATATACCTATGTCTTCGTTTTTTCGATGACACTCATTCTATTCATTCTACGTATAATATATATTCTGTTGATCGGAGAAAAATATCTCGTTCGCGATGCCTGTTTGTTCCAATACGCATCACGCATCATGCGTTACACCTGTCGCTTCAAAATTAAACTTGCAATTATCAACAACGTAGTCCGAGTAGATCGTTGGACGGTCCTTACTTTCGGATCCAATTAAATCTTTCGGTAAACAACGATAATCCACGACATTATCTGCTCGCTTATCTGCAGCCTCTTGGACTCTAGAATTTAGCTGTTATGTGGTTATGTGTCTTTCACGTATCCGTCCGGCTATGACGTCCGGGGTGTACGATATATCGCTCGGTTAACGTCGTAAGGCTCAAAGATAATCGCGATGATGTATGAAATAGTCTGACCCAATTATTATGTTCCTGAACATCGTTGTAAAATACGACAGCACGAGCGCACGAACCGAGCGATTAATAATTAATTATTGAGTCTCGGTAAAATTTGACGTGCAAATATCAATAAATTCATTTCGTTAAAAATGAAATGAAGTTTAAAAGAGGAGAATGCCTATATAAAGCCGCTTTTCCGTCTATCAAATATTTTACAAAATCATATTAGTCTGATGATTCGAATCCTGGGTATTTCAGAAAAAGATAATAATCTTTCCTCGTTTTTTTTTATATTTAAAACTGAGAAATATTCACGTCAATATAATTTTCCAAACATTCGGCGTAAACAAAAAATAGATTTTTTGTAATTTTTTCCTTTGGCCATATATCTCGATTTGTCCAGTTTATTCGAGTAGAATTTTATTTTAGAAATATGGTAGAAGTAAATTAGATTTTATATGATAAATAGAACAGTGTATAGTGAAATCGGGCCAAACAAGTGGTTGCTTATATTTTGCAGCCAGATTTATATAATAAAATTGAGTCTATGTGTACATATTTTCGTTTACATAGTTCTTTTATAATACGTATATATTTGTTTGCCTGTTCCCTCAATATTCGTTGAAAACAAAATCCGAACAAATCCATTTGAAGTTGAAACAATAGATACGCAGCTTATAACTTCCATATCTATATAATTAATAATATTTTCAAAGTAACTATTAATTTTTATATTTTCTTTAACTTTTAATTATATTTTTAGCTAATACACAAGCCGGAGAAGGGCGCGTGGCGTGGATAGATTCTGTTCGAAATATTCCCATTGGTAAACATTGCTCCCGAGCAACGCAACGCGTTATAGTTTAATTCCATAAAAAGCGCTTTAAAATAACGTAGCTACTTTTGCGATGCTTTTTAACGTCTGCGGTTTTACAAAATTACGAATTAAGTCACCCGACAAAGCACGGATAATTTAACCAGTATATTACTGAAAATTAGCACTGCATTAAAAGTGCATAGCGTTTTGTGTGGAAACGCACTCACGCATTACTTAATTTTATCGTACTCTTGCTCTCATGAAAATTCCTGACTGTCTGCTTTAACTCGTTCTATCTGATTTTACACACTTTCTCCTGCGGTTTATTTCGTGCATCGTATAGATAAAGGATCGGTACTCTTGTTCCCCTTTGATAACTTGTCCGCAAGAGAATTGAATTTACTGCCTTTGCTCGCGCATT